ATTGGACCATTCTCTGTCCAACAAAATTCTAGCACAGGCCGACATTCATTTTGGTTGATCGACCACTGTTGAATTCTTCTTGCCGATAAGTCTTACCAAAAAATTTCAGACAAGTAAGATTCTTTTGCTCACTAGTTTTTCTCATCCAAAGTAATTTGATCATAAATTTGTTGTTCTTTAACGATATTCAGTAACAAGCTGTTTGAAAATGTAATGTATGTTTATCAGTTATGACTTCCGATTGATTATCGTATTCAAATTTAGTGAACGTTGTTTTTCTTTCTTTCTTCTTTGCCCTCTTCTTTTCTTTAGTTTTTTTCTTAAATCTTGGCAAACTGCAGTTGTTCAAAATTTTCTTCCAAAGCAAGTCTTCGAGTGCCAATGAGCAAAAATGTGTAGAAATTTGGACTTCAAATATCTTTTAGATGTAAAGTAAGACGGCTGTGCACAGGCACAGCTAACTATTAGGTGACGACTATTTCAACAAACGTGCAGACTTGTGTGATTTACAAAGAACATGACGAATCGACCCGCCTAATAGTTGGCAACCTAATAGCAATATTTGTGTTAGCGTAGTACTCGAAACACTTCATAAACAGAAGGTGTAATTTATGGAATATAAACGAAAAGTTGGTATGTCGTAATATACAGAAAGATATCTGGATTTGTTTTAAAACAAAACCCTCACCATGGCATTAAGTTATTTTGGTTCCCAACACATTTGAACAAGTCCACCTCTGAGGGTTAAACCAATGTTTTCTCGTCCCAAAAAAAAAAAAAATGTTTATAGTTTTCTTTGAGCAACTCTCGTCACTCATTATAGTGATACAACATATATATTAAGATACAATCATACAAGCAATGAAGGTCTTAACCAAAGTACAATTAGGGGTCTTTCAAATTTTGCTATGGACGGCTAGGTACTTTGAGTGGCGCCCCTGAGCAATGAGCTTACCCGTCTTCTTACTTCTAAAGTCAACACTCACAACAGCAAGAGCCTTTCCAACACGCAGTGCCTTGCATTCTATCTCAATTTCCTCCTGAGAAAGGGAAAAAAAATGGTTCACGAGACGAAAGTTCTATGAGAGCACTCTAACTGATTCTAAAGGACGGAAACGTACAATATCAGGAAATATACTCGAGATACGAGTCTAAGAATTCTCTAAACCCAATAATAATAATAATAATAGTTAAACATAAAACATTGGCTAAAATCATTTCGAAATCATAACTCGAGGAAGCATATGCAGCAACTTTTATGCTGTGAGAGATTGTGATTTATTGCAGCAGAGCAGCAGAAAAAGTGAGAGTCAGAAGTATTTTGTCTTTGCAAACAGAAGCTACAAAGTCTCGAGTAAAGTTTGTCTTTGCAAACTAGACATTCCCATGACTCCATCGAATTTCAGAAACTCGAATGAGCTAACCCAGAGCTCGATAGATTTTTTTGTCCGTGTCCTTTAATTCACTTTTCAAAGTGTTCTTTAATAAATCACTTTTCCTTTCTAGGTCGATGCCTTCCGGCCTTCCAAAATCTTCATTCATTCATCAAGCAGCATCTTGTAAGGACTTCTATGAGAAATATCCACGACCAAACCACTCGTAATCTAATTTGGAAATTCAGCCAAAAAAAGGGGGGGAAACACAAATTCCACAGAATTTTCGCATTAGAACATCCTTGATTCAAACTTATTTTCATCTGTTCTCCCACCATTTGCATCTACATATAAAAAATTGCAATACAAGACCTGCTACCACATGCATTAACTTGAGCTGTCACCATTAAAGAAAAAAAAGAATAGGGGTTTTGGATTCATACTGGCATCTGTCAATATGAACACTGGCCAAACTAGTTTAAAGAGACACCTTTCAAAGCACCACTAGATTGGAAGAAGTTTCTCGACTCCAGTCCAATCTTACTCAGAGATAGCGCAAATTCGATTTTAATAGAATTTCACCAATGAAGAAGCCGCAAATGCATAGGCCGAGAGAGCAAAAATGAAGGAACTTACACCGACATACGCGCAGTCCAAGTAGGTGACGTTGATCTCAACGGATACGCCCGTGAACGTGGATCCCATCGTGAAGATAACGGCGGACCCAACTATGTCCACCATCGCCGCCGTAGCTCCGCCGTGCAGCGCGTTCTCGGAGTCCTTTGTTGACCGCCACCATAAAAATCAATCAATCGGTCAATCCGGTTCCAAAACAAGCACTGCAAATCGGAAAACCCAGAAACAATTGCATTTAAAAAGAAAATTGATTTCCTGATTACGCACCACGAGGCGAGGTGGGACGGTGAAGGAGCAGACGATGCGGCCGCGCTCGATGTGGTCAAGCCTGAGGCCTTGCATAACTATGGGCTCTATGAACCTCGCCGGCATCGAGTCTACCGTGAGCCCATGCCCGCCGTCGGCTTTCTCCACTAATTTCCTCGCCGACTCCAAATCCATCGGTAGAAAAATTCAGATACCAAAGAAAATGAGAGAGCTGATAATGACTATTTCTTCCTTTCTACAACCCAAATGATACAAAGTAAAAACGAGACCTACATGAAAATAAGACCTCACTTTACCAACTTGTTGGGGGCTACAATTAGGTAGAATGTGATCCTAGCCCTGCCAAATTTTGGGCTAATTGATTTTTTTTTTAGTGTTATTTTTATTTTTGTTTTTATTTTTTGGTCCGAGGGATAAATAAATGACTAATAATGGATTATTTATTTTTATTATTTTGTATATTATAGTACGACTAATACTCTGTTCGAAACTGTGTGTTAAACTATACGGGAATCCTACGAATTGATATGTATTTTTCAGTTCTTACAAGTAATCTAAAATAGAAAATTACAATTACAACTGAAAAATAAATTAAAACTTAGAAATAAAACAGAAAGATTAAAGTCGAGGCGAGTAAAACTCTTTCCGCAAGAAGAATACGCCCCATGTGTTGCTAACGGTTCAGGCGTAACTTTCCCAAAGATACAACGGCAAACGTCTCTAAATCTGTAGCACACCAGATTTACGAGCTCCGGCGAACTGGAACAGATTCGAGAATTGAGCACTTAAAATAGGAATAAAAATATCTCTCTTTTGTTATTTTAATAACAAATAAATATTTTATATTTTTCTCTCTGATAATTTTATCCCTCCAAAATTATTTTGGACTGATTTTCTTTTTTTTTCTTCCCCTTTCTTTCCTCTCTTTTATTTCTTTCATTGTGTATTCTCTTCATCTGAGGACACTTATTTATTCGAGAATTGAGCTACATACTCCCCACCACTAGCAGTTTCATACGTTCGTTTATTAGAACTAGATTCATACGTTCAAAGAATATAGCATTCCTCAACTCAATCGTGGTACCAACAGATACCTCTGGATTTTCTGATTTATGAACCAGAAATCTATATGTTGTACTATTGTACGCATATCAAAGAAACACACAATCGACCGTCTTTGGCACAATTCTCATTTGTTTAGGTTCAGGAACTGAAACCTTAGCCAAACACCCCCACACTTTCAGGTACTTATAAGACGGCTTACGATTTTTCCACATTTCGTAAGGAGTCTCATCTTTCTCTTTAGGTGGTATTTTATTCAGAATATGATTTGCTGTTAAAACAGCTTCCCCCCACATGTTTTGGGGTAATCCTGAATTTATCAGCATGACATTCATCATTTCTTTTAACATACGGTTCTTGCGTTCAGCAACACCGTTCGACTGTGGAGAATAAGGGGCCGTCGTTTGATGAATTATGTCATATTCAGAACATATTTGTTCAAAAGGAGCTACATACTCCCCACCCCTATCACTTCAGATTATTTTAATCCTTTTGCCGAGTTGATTTTCAACTTCGTTCTTATAGATCATAAACGCTTCCACATCCTCATCTTTGCTTCTAAACAAATATAAGTAGTAAAACGTTGTGCAATCATCGATAAAAGTAATAAAATACTTTCTACCCGTTCTTGTTTGCACACTTTTCATATCACATACATCAGTATGAATCAAGCCTAATGATTCAGTACTCCTTTCCACCGAGTGAAAAGGCAACTTAGCTATTTTTGCTTCAATACAAATTTCACATTTCTTATGTGATTCGATTTTAGAATTAGGAAATAATTCTAAATTTATCAACCGTTTAATTGCATTTAGATTTACATGTCTCAATCTAATATACCATAAATCAAAGCACTCAACGGTATAAACAGAAATAGGCTTTTCATTTTCAACGGTTACACGGTTCATGAACATTACATTCATTTTGAACAAACCCTTGTCGAGATAGCCACGACCAAGGAATGTTCTAAACTTGCTAAGAACAAACTTCTTAGTATCAAACACTAGCCTAAATCTATTCTCAACAAGAAGAGATCAGGAGACCAAATTCTTGCGGATGTCTGGGACATGCAGAACATCCTTAAGCTTCAACTCCTTTCCAGAAGTCAACTTCAGCACCACAGTGCCCTCTCCAGCTGCATCAGCCATGGAGGAGTTTGCCATGTGAAGTTTCCGAACCTTAGTAGGAGTGTATTCAGAAAATACCTCCTTATCGGAACACACATGACGAGTGGCACCAGTATCGATGTACCACTCCCTTGGGTTATCCACCATATTGGCTTCAAACACCACTGCGGACATATCAAAGTCGGTCAGTTTACCCTGCACAGGGTCGTGTGTCAGCCACAAGGGCACTCGGTTTACCTTTCTTTGGCCCAACCTCCTTTGGCCTCTTGCAGTCTTTCGTCATATGGTTCCGCTTTCCACAGTTGTAACAAGTTCCGGTAAACTTCCAAACCTTGGCAGACTGCTTCCCTTTGTCAAGAGACTTCTTTTTGCTCGAGTTGCCTTGCTCCAGCAAGTTAGCACGAGCCTCCATCATCTGAGATTTTCCAGATGAATTACGGTTGTCCTCCTAAATACGAAGACAAACAACCAGGTCTTCAAGACTCATCTCCTTCATCTTATGTTTGAGGTAGTTCTTAAAGTCTTTCCAACCCAGCGACAGCTTTTCAATCACAGCCGCAACTTGGAATGACTCGCTTAGAGACATTCCTTCAGCATGGATATCGTGCAAAATAAGTTGAAACTCTTGCACTTGGGACACGACGGTCTTCGAGTCGAGCATCTTGAAGTCAAGAAACTTGCCGACGACAAATTTCTTCGCCCCGGCATCCTCAGTCTTGTAATTCTTCTCCAAAGCAGCCCAAAGCTCTTTGGTAGATCCAACCGAGCTATACACGTTGTACAACTCATTACTAAGTCCATTCAGGACATAGTTACGGCAAAGGTAATCACCTTGTCCCCAAGCCTCATACGCAGCGCGTAGTTCAGCATTGGTTTCATTTTCAGCAATGACCGGAGGGTCATCCTTCAAGTATTTTACCATACCCAAAGTGGTCTGGTAAAAATGCATCTTTTATTGCCACCGCTTAAAATCAAGCCCATTGAATTTTTCGAGCTTTTCAGCAGTAGGGACATGGACAACAGGTACATGATTGACATGATGCTGATGTTGAGAACCTTCTCCATTATATGACATCAGTTCAGTAGGTTGACTGTTATTCTTCTTGCGATTGTTCGAAACTGTGTGTTAAATTACACAGAAATCCTACGAGCTGATATGTATTTTTCAGTTCTTACAAATAATCTAAAATAGAAAATTACAATTGAACTGAAAAATAAATTACAACTGAAAAATAAATTAAAACTTAAAAATAAAACGGAAAGATTAAAGCCGAGGCGAGTAAAACTCTTTCCTCAAGAAGAATACGCCCCGTGTGTTGCTAACGGTTCAGGCGTAACTTTCCCAAAGATACAACGACAAACGTCTCTAAATCTGTAGCACACCAGATTTACGAGCTCCGGCGAACTGGAACGGATTCGAGAATTGAGCACTTAAAATAGGAATAAAAATATCTCTCTTTTGTTATTTTAATAACAAATAAATATTTTATATTTTTCTTTCTGATAATTTTATCCCTCCAAAATTATTTTGGACTGATTTTCTTTTTTTTTCTTCTCCTTTCTTTCCTCTCTTTTATTTCTTTTAGTGTGTATTCTCTTCATCTGAGGACACTTTTTTATATGGGAAAAATCGCAGTTAATGCCTGATCATGGAGATCAGGTAATGCCTGACAATACTCAATAATTACAACAAAAGTGACAAATTTGTTAGGAATCAATTCACTTGAAGATTCCTTTGCATGTTGGGCACATGATTCCTAACAATGAAGTGGTATTAACTATTAATTATACACTCATAATTTTATAACATACTCAACGATGTGCACGTATGTAGATATAGATAAAATGTTATAATTAAGCTATCTATATATATAATAAGAATTAACATTTTTCAAAAATAGTAAGCAAAAAAATAGGGAACATTAATTGCATTCCATTTTTGGTATGTTTGTTTAATTTTTTTTAATAAAAAATCAAGTAACATTTAATGCTAGCATAAATCATGGGATTAGTTATATAGATGCATATTTAAATTTCAAACTTCAAACAAAACATGCCTAAATGTATTTTGAATTTTTTATGGGAAAAATTTAACAAACACGTTGAAGATTTCATACAATACATATGTTTATATATATTATCTCAACATATAGGTTAATTAGTTTCATATCTAAACAATATATAAACAAATATAATAATTTGTCGTACAATACAAAAAAATATATAAACAATATATTTATATACAAATATAATAACAATACAAACAATATATAAACAAATATAATAACTTGTCACGCGTATATTTCGTACAATACATATATTAATATATATTTTCTTAACATATAAGTTAATTAGTTTCATATTTAAACAATATATATTTTAGAAACTTAAAGATTCATAACATTACTGACGTCATGTACATTTATAATATATTGTCACATACATTTTACTACAATTGGTAACTTTTTTAAAATTATTTGAATAACTGGAGGTTGATTTGTAATTTAAATTTCAAATTCATTCAAACATTTAAAGGAAAGTATCATAAGCAGATTTTTTTTTATACATTTCATTTTCTCTCAACTTACATATAATCATTTCCGAATTATTTGTTTCTCATAACATCGGACAGAATTACTAATTGCATAGAATTCAATTATGATTTCGAATTTATATCACTGATGTTTAATAATTGCTTAGAATTTCAAAGATGTTTATTTATTATAAAAAAAAAGAAATTGTAAAAAATATTTGTGTATATTTTGTAAAATGTTTGTACAAAAGTTTTACTTTAAATTTATTTACATAATTTAAATTAATTACATTTATAAATAATATGAACATTTATTAAATATTTTAATTATATAAAACAAAAAGAAGAAGAAGACTACATATTTAACTTGCATAAATAATAATAATGAAATTATATTACAATAAATTTTATAATAAAATAATATAAGTATTATACGAAGAACAAGATTACGTAAAATTGTTATTTTTCTTATATCAAGGAATATATATATATATATATAATGAAATCAAATTTATATTATTATAAACTTGTGAGCGAGATATATATTAATTAATTTACGGGCTTGCGCTACCAGACTCAGGTTTAATGTTTCGACAAAAAAAAATGACGTTGATGAAAAGATGTAAAAAAATAA